TCCTATTATAGACAAGGTGGTAGAACATAATGTCTTTCATCTGTTAAGCTTGTTTGATTATGCATCCACATGTTTATCTTCTTTGCTAGGCCTGGTCCAAGACCTGCAGTCAGACTCTGTGGTCCCTTTCTGTTCATCGATGCCTGGTCTAGAGCAGCACTTTGCTTGGATCCATGTATGCTTTTTCCTGCAGTTGTTTTTCAGTATCAACTGCATTGAGTCCAATTCAGAGTGTAAATACCTGTCTGCGTATTTGGGTATGAAAATGTTTGGGTGTTCGAAACATTCAGGTGACTGCAGCTAGTATATGAAGAATGTGGAGGTTTGGGTTTATTCTCCGAGTGGGCAAAAGTGGAAGAGGATACCAGAGGGACGAAATGATTGCAATTCCCTGGGGCCAGAAATTTACATTAAAAAGAAGAGAGAACTAGGAACCCTCTACCTCCTTGCTGCTAATTGACCCCTTCAGGCTCTCTGAGGTGGAAATATTGCATGCCGATATAGCGCAAGTAAGGGAAATGTATGTTAGGGAAGTCTAGAGCACATGATGCATGAAAAAAGGCTGAGGGAAACTGGTTTGTTCAGCCTCCAGAAGAAAAGGTGAACGGGAGATCATATTGCTGTCTTCAACTTCCTAATGGGAGGGCAGAGAGGAGACAGAACCAGACTCTTCTTTAAGGTAAGCAGGGATAGGAAAAGAAGCAACAACCACAATTTGCAATACAGGAGATCCCAGTTTGAGACTGGAAAAGAAAATTTCACCACAAGAGTGGTCAAGCACTGGAAGAGGTTGCCCAGAGAAGTTGTGAGTCTCCATCCTGGGAGATGCTCAACGTAGACTGGAAAGGGCCTTGAGCAACCTGAGCAAATCTAACCTACTCTGAGTGAGAGGTTGGACCAGATGACTTTGAAAAGTCCCTTCCAACTGAAATAGTTCTGTGAATCTATAGCTTTTATTCAGTTGGTCTGTGAGGTATTGGGATTGACTGGGTGCATTACTGTTTGGGCAGGTGAGGTCTAGGGGAAGAAGAGTGTTTAGAAATACCATTTAATTTATATAGGTTCCTTAAACTTTATTTGCTTGTGCTGTGGTTTTGAGAGGCTCTATAAGCTGTCTCCCTTCTTCTCTTTTAACTTGAGGATACATGGTTTTCCTGTGTCTGCCATTAACACTACACATAAGTGCATCCATGTTGAGATTGATACCTCAAAATCGAGCTTCAGTGCAACAGGAATTGTTAAAAGACTGAACGGGACGTCACTGGTGCACTCAGTGAGCACAGCCAGACACAGGCTTCAAAAGATAGACTCGAATGGCTTGCCTTATGAGGGTCTTGGAGATAGAGTACAAATTAGGATATTTTTATGTATTCTGTCCTAATTATATTCTCATGCTCACAAAGACTAAAGAAAGAACAAACATGATTTTCTTTTAATAAGAGGTTAATAAGGACATGGGGGAATGGGCACCTACACACTGCTTTCTTCAAACACACAACATGCTGTGATGCATAATATTTCTAAAAATGGGAGAAATGCTGAGATGTTCAGATTGACATTTCAGTGCCTGTCTGATTTCAGTGTCTGTCTGAAATATAGGGTTCAATAATCCTATTATGTGTGTCTGGCACACTCCTCCTTCTTCAGCAACGTGCCTCCCATAACTGCTGTAATAAGACAGAACAGCCAAAGCCTAATTCTGTGTGCCTCATCCTATCATTCAGCAAAGTTATATCGTCATCAGATGCAATCTATTGTTTTCTTTCCTGCTGTGTGGTATTGATTTTTCTAACCTTTCCTAATGTTAAATTTGTTTGGCTTTTTAACTTTCTTACCAAAGGTTAATGTTATTAAGTTGAGCAGGTATCTATAAAACTAGAAGCGTTATTGCCTATCTTGCAATTGTTATACCGTTGTTTCATTAAACCCTGGCTGCACCGGAAAGCTTTGTCTTGAAGATTTTTGTCATTCAGGTGTAATACGGTGAAGGTTGACAAGAACTGCATTTGAATTGTCATCCAATTCTGTGGTATCAAATATTGGATTTCATATGTCAGGAGCAACAGATTTATCTAAAACTCTCTTACCATCAGTGAACATGAACTGCACAGATATTAATTGCAGCGAGCCTGTAGAGAGGATGCAGGAAGATGCGAGTGCTGCTGCCTGTCCTCTTCCCCAGTACGGTCTGACCACGCCAGTCTCTTTGCCGTTGTGGCAAAAGGAGCAGATCTAAAACCTCTGCCAATTCCAGAACTGGTTATCTGCTTGATGTGGAAAGAGAATGAGAAATCACGGTTTAATTTGAAGGAAGCAGTGGCTTTAATGGTAGCGCTCTGTCAACATTTTTCAGTATGATCTACAGCAGTACTTGCATAAAGTGTCAAAGGTGCAGGACAGTGAGTAAACAGTTTCAGGATACCACTGTTAAGCCAGGTTTCAGTTTTAGTTCCTGCTGCCACAGTACCCTCTTAGTATCAGTATCACTGGTACCGTAACCTGCCTTTAATGAATTGTGTATTTGACATCCCATTTACACGTTTAGATTGCATTTCTGTGACGTGTTTGAGGCCGTTTATTGTGAATATGTGCAAAAGACAATAGCAGGGCTGAACATAGGATGTCTACGTGTGGTGCATCATGGCTTTCTTCTGGAGCTGCGGTAAATGACCTACGGTGCTCTCCAGCCACCATCCTGAAGTTACTTTGCCTTGGTAGTACCTTGTAGTTGCTCTGAAATATTTTTCTTATCAAAGAACATCCTGAGAAGCTAGGCAAGAGCTAACCTCAAGTCAAATGTCTTTAATAGTAGAAAGCATAAAATAGTAAATAATGAAGTAATTTAAGCCGTTGTAGATCATCACTTAAAAAAACCCAACAGATAATTTGGTCTTCCCTGGGTGCAAAGCAGAATTGCAGCCTACCTGCAGCTGCCAAAACCTGACTGTCCAAGGAGGAGATCAGGCTTGTTAGTGACTACAGGAAGGAGTATTTCAAAGTGCTGGGGGAGAGTGGGGGTTAAATCTTTTATTTATAAATTGGTACCTATAAAGCACTTACTTCTGCCAGCGCTGTGAAGCCAAGGAATGGCCCTGGCAAAAGATAAAAAGACCTTCCTTCTCTACTGCTAATTTAAGAGCTGGTTATTCAGGTTCTGTCTCTTCTGCCATGCTCAGCAGTAGCTGTCCCTGCCATTGATTTAGTCTTCATCTGTCACGTTCTCGTGCTGTTCAAAGGCTGGGGAAGTTCTGTCTGTTCACAGTTTCTCACAGCTTGGTCTCTCTTGCCACTATCAATGCCGATAACGAGACTGTCTGAGAGCACCCCATTCTTGGTAAATGAGACATCTTTTCATTTAGAGTGACTTTGATTAACAAATTCCCTTCAGTAGTTTTCAGATCCAATTGTGAGTTTTCTGGGTGGGCCTGAACATCCCTAGAACTTCTTGGGCTCCCTTGGTGTCTCTGGCTGGCATCGCACAACTCACATGTTCATTACAGGCTCCAGATGGCGTGTCCCTTCTGCCCCTGCCAATTTTATGTTTTGGCCTTTCCTGGTGAAGAGTAGAGACATGGCAGCTCTTCAAATTGTTTGACGCTTAGCACTGAGTCCAGGCTCCAGCTGCATTTTGCCTAGCCTCTTCGTGGTGGCAGCAGCACCGCTTCTGCAAGGGACGTCTTTGTTTACGTGTGCTGTTGCAGCTATATGATGCATCACCTCAGCGGGCCTGAGTATTTAGAGCATATCAGGTGTCAGAAAGGCTACTGCTTTTGACCAGGTTTCCTTTCAGAAGTTTTTGAGGAGGGTGGAGAAGAGGTATAGTAAAAAGCATGCCGTTATCTCCTCCCTTACCTCTTCCACTTCATCCAAATCCCCTACTGCATGATGGTTTTGTTTGGTTTCGTGTGCGTTCTGGCTGTGCGGGGAAGCATTTCGGTGATGGTGTATGTCTTCCTATTGGAGGCTCACTGTTTTGTTGCATGCAATACACTAAAGTCCATCCATGCACTGATCTGAGAAATTTTGTGTTTCTGTACCTTTATTTTTACCACTAAGGTAGAGGCAACTTTTAACATTTTGGGGTTTTTTTTTCTGATGTAACAAAATAATGTACTTTATACACACAGGCACACATACAAAGATTCTGTAGTCTCAATGCTTTTCTCTTATCAGTTGTTGTTGTGTATAGCAGAAACATAAAATCTGTCAGATAAAGACAAAGCTAGGAGGCTTTTAAGGGGACCTTGAAGTGGTAGGAGAGGGAACCTCTAAATCCAGCGTGTATGGTTCTTATTTTAATTTACGATGCTGTATTGGGTACTTTGTATCCTTGAAACCTCTTTGAATAGTGACTTTGTGGTAGATATACTCCACTTTTCCTTACTCAGCTTTTTATTAGAGGCTTAGGAATTGCTTTAGCTTTCAATTAAGAAATCCGAACTCCTGCTCTTCTCCACTTTAACATGCTGTCATCCATATTGCCCCACTGCAAGGAAACTGTTGTTGTATCACTGCAAATTAACTAGTACAACTGCACTGGTTCCGGGAAGCTTGAACATTTTTGTATGCTTACATTTATACACATTTGAATATACGTAGCAGAAACATAGTAACTGTAGCACCAGAGAGGACAGTCATTTTCCTGGAACCTGATCCTGGAAGTTACTGATCACCCAGGGCTCGCTACACCAGAACTTGTCCATCCAGCACAGCATCGTAGAACATGCTTCTCCAAACTCACAAATGTACTCAATGGGTTTTGAATATCTACTCCTGTGCCTATCAAACTGCTGTTTCATAATAATTTGTTCAGCTGGGACCTATGGTCTTTGGGCTCTGTAAAGTTAATAGTCTTTTACTTAATTCTGCATTTCCATGCAGACTCTTTAAGAGTTTGTTGACTGCAGTTAATTTCACCAAAGACGGCATTGGTTCTCGAAATTGAAAGATGACTGACGTTATTTTTTTTTCCCCTCTCTGTTTTGCTGTTTCTTCACTAGGGATGTGAGTTAATTGAGACCATGGATCAGGACCTCACAGATTTCACCAAGTGCCTTCAGATACTCCAGAAAAAGATAGAGAAGAAGGGCCTCCAGGTAAAGGCAACACATCTTTGGTTCTTAGTGATTACTCTTCCTCTCAATGTATTTAGGTTTATGTTTTAAGTTTGCACTGAAATGAAACAATATTTTCTGTAGCCTTGCCGTTCTGCGGTTTTGCCATAATTTACTGCACACCTTGTAAGCATTGGTGCTTCTGCTAAAAGGAATTACACAGTGTAAGGTGTTGAACAAGCATTGGCTTTCTTAAAAGGCAGCTTGTATTGATTTCTGTTAATGAACTACCTAAAGTGCAGAAGAGCTGTTGTGGCTGGTGTTCATAGGAAGAGTCCCACTTTGGCATGTAAATATATTTTCAAGTCTTGGCACACTGAACCTTGATGTTCATCTCCTTCCTCTCCCCTCCCAAAGGTGAGACGGGAGGGGGAATCTTATCCTGCCAACGTTACATATGGTAAGCAGTACCTCCTTTTGCAAAAGGTTCCCCTGGAATCAAAGGGAACCTTTGCAGGGCAAGCAGTGCACTAAACTTAAAAGGAGCCATATGGAGTTGTCAGCTGCTCATTTCATTGGAAAGGTGAAGAAGGCAACGTTCCCCCTCCCCTTCCACATTTTGGTTTCAGAGGCCCGCTTGTTTTGTCTCTCTAAGATGCGAAGTTAAAATTCCTTGGGAATTTCCAAAATGATGAGTCGATGGCAGATGTGCTCTTGGGATTGCTCCCCTTTCCCCCCACACAGCAGTCATTCGTAAGGGCTGAGCTCTCTTTTCTGCTCTGTACCTACAGGAGAAAGGGATTGAGAGGAAACAGCTGCTGCATCCTTTTACCAACAGTGAGGGCAAGACTCATGTAAGGAAATGAAAAAAACAGCACAAGATGGAAGGAGATGCGTAAACCTCCTCTTTTCCCATTTGCATTGTAGCAGGATAGGAAAGTTGCCCTACTTCCTGAGATCACTGTACTCCAACAAAGTAGTAAGAGATGGAGATGCCAGTACTGCTCCCTCTTTCTTCTCTCCTCACTCCAGGCTGATAAATAATTAACCAGGTTTTGCTTAAGCTATTTTGAAATGTCTTGATCTTCTAAAGGAAATATATGTCCATGGGGCATTTCAGAGTGCTGTCACACAATGCCCATCTGCAGTTGCATCTTCCTCTTGCCACCCTCAATACATACTGTTGTTCATAAGGTTTTTTTTCCCCTATCAGTATAGACAGAGATGGGAGAGTTTCTCCATACACTTCTCTTATCTGGCTGTGAGCAAGGAAACGCCTTATATGATAATTTTTTTTTTCGCCTATAATTTATCATCACAAGAGCACAGAGGGGTGTCTTGCCATCTAGGACATGAATGATAATGAGCGCCGTCAGAACAGAGGAGCCACCTATGCCTAGGATTTGTTTTGACTTTGGCAAGTAAGGTGCTTCTCTCTTAACAGAATTACCCTTAGAATGAAGGAGAACTTGTCTGTTTCCTGGACTCGGTTCATTATCAAATCCCAGCTATTGCTATAGAGGGATTTTTTTTAAGCTATCACAAGAGGTTTTATAATGAATAATCAATGTGTGGTTAAAATAAGAGCAATGGGAACATGGCAGCTACAGATGTGTTTCAACAATAAGTAGCCTATTTGTAAAACTTTGAATTCTTTGATCACTCTCCTAGGTAAAGCCCTGTTAAGTTGGCTAAAGGATACTGCATTGTAACAAGCCAGAGTGTAATTGCAGTAATTGTGTAGAGTTCATGCCAATGTGCTAAACCTAAGATTTCAGTTCAGTTATATTTTCATGCTGTTACATGTAAGATGTGCTTTAAATACAATCTGAGTTTTTCAGAGGTGCAAGAAGTAATACAGAAATGTTTTCTAAAACTAAGTACCATGTTCATTAAATCCTAGCTGCTTCTTGCTTGCAGTGTCTGTTCCGTGAAACATAATAAGATACTATCAGCTGATTCATGCACACTATGTATGTAACTAAACACACTAATGTGTGTAACTAAAGCATACGTTTCCTTTTTTGGTCTTCCGCATTTTCTGACATAAGGAGTTTCAAGAAGTCATTGATTCAACTTAGGCAAATAATATGTGAAACTTAAGCAAAAGGAACCCAAAATTGTATCACAACTGTATAAATTACTAGTTTAGGTTCCAATTTGCTCTTTGTTCTGAAGCATGAGGTATAATTTGTTAGTAGGAAGCTTGGTGATTCTTCTGGATGTCCTGATAATGCAGTGCTTAGCTTGATGCCTGTTCCCCCAGTAACACAGAGATTCTGAGCACTTGGAACATATACTGGCCTTAGTTTATGGATGCAACCACTTGGCCTTTCTGAAAGTCTAGCCTCTTTAAATACCTAAATCTGCACTTAATTTAGGTGTCTTTATGAATAACATTCTGGCATAAAAATGTCAAGTCGTAAGAAAACAGGCTGTTGAAGCCATAGATCCAAAATCTTCAAGGAGAACACAAATCTCTTCAGAGAAGAATGCTGCCATTGAGTTCTGTGGTCACCTGGGAAGTACATACAGCTGAGAAGAAAGGAAGGTCTGGGGTCTGAAAACTAGCAGTGAATAGAGAAGGGGTTCTTCATTTGCATTTGCATTTTTGGCCTGAAGTACAAACTTGCACGTGACAATGGGTTTTTTTTTCCTTCTGGAAAAAATATCATAATAGCTTTCCTTTTAACTGAGAGTATTAACTAGGTGGAATATGTCTTCCCAGTTCCAGGAAAAATATGTATGTCTCCAGCTTTGATTTTTACCCACTCTGTCTAGCTTATTCAGAGCACTTGTCAAAGAGGAATATGACAAAGAGACACTACAAATCTGTTTCCCCATGATTTATCGTTGAAGTTACTAAACAAGGAAAATATCTCTTTAGTATCTTTAAAAAAAAAATTGATACCCCGGTCATGCTGTGTTTGCTGCTCTTTCTGAGTAGCAATATGTTAAGCTAGGAAATTAATTACATTCAATGTATACCATGGATCCACAATCCTGTGACATAGTTTGTCTGGATAAAATTCAACTGTGGGGAGCTGATGTATTTGAAACAGATGTTCATCCATTGGTTAGAGAATAACTTATCATTTATCTGCTGTACTGAACGGATAAAATTTCTACTCTGATCTATCAGTCACCTCTATGGAGGTTCTATGTCAAGGAGGTTTTTGAGCTCACATGAACATATGGGGGCAATACTTTATTCCAAAGGAATTAAGTTTGTGTAATTTACTTTCCATGTCTCTGCACCTCCGTCATCCTCCTCCTCTTCCTTCCTGCTCACCCAAATAGCTTTTGAACAAATAATTTTAGAACAGAGGAATAGAGTACTGAAAGATAATCATGTCGAACAGCTTTCTTAGAGGTCACCTGTGCGGGAGTGAAGGTGAGATAGACACTCAGTGCCCCCACTGGAGAGAATGCTGCAAGTTAGTTTAGATCTGACTGGTTGTTGGAGAATACAGTTTGAGAAGAGGCCTTAGAAATGCCTTTACTACAAGGAAAGATGCAATTGGAGTTGACGGTCAACTGAGACACAAATCTGGGAGAAAAAACACCTTGTTAGTTCTTGAACTCCTTGTTTGATATAAACAGCAGTAATTCTGTCTTCTAGAATAATTAGCCAAATTCATAACTGCTTTTTCCTTATGTCTCAAATAAAAACTCTTAGAATAGTTTCTGAATCTCAGGGTCATTCATTTCTGGTTTACATTGCACATTTGGGTCGCATAGCCAAGTCATGCAGAAAGCAGCATTAGGGTCATTTTGTGATATCTAAGTCACCTAATTATATGTATTTATAATTACAGACTGCAGTGAATGTTAGAACAAGCAGTACCCTTTATATGTGCCAGCTAGAACCAGTCTTAATTTTCCCTCTCCACAGCCCTAATTCATTTGTGAGTTGCATTGTACCGGATGGGTGAAGCAGTGAAGTACCACAAACAGAATCTGACTTCTGAAGTTTCTTTCCAACCTAAAGGCTGTTAGATATTTTTCTTCCTCTTTCTGCATGACTGTGAGTATGCATGCACGGACATGCATGTGCATGTATGTATATAAACACAGAAATTTGCTGGCAGTATACCTTCCTGGCCCTATGTGATGCTTTTTTTAATGTCTTTATAACTCTGTCTTTATTTCTGCCATGTGTTTCTTTTACGTTGTTTATGGTCTATTGAACACTTAGGTGTGCACATTTTGCTTTACTGCTTTATTCGCTATTTTATCCATTCTGTGGTTGTGAGTACTTTCCTTTCTTCATTACAAGACCTTGAAGTAAACTTATTTACAGTCATTTCTGTCTGGTACTACTTTCTGGTCTTAGTTTTCTCTCATGTAACACAAGCTATTTCAAGAAACCAACTGAACTGGCAAAATGATAGGCATGGTTACAATATCTCTTAGTTAGAGATCAACAGATCTTGCATTAAAAGTGAACATTATTATCTTCCATTTGCAGACGGGAAAGCAGAAGTACAGAAGCAACTTGTCCACAGTCTCCCAGCATGCTAGTGGTACAGCTGGGGGTGATCCTCCAATTCCCAATGTTCATCAAGTGCTCTTTCCGTAACAGTGTCCCTGGTCTGACTCACAGGCAGCTCATAGCAGCTCACGCCAGTGAGAAGTGGAAGTGTGTTTATCAATTATGCAGCTCCATGAAGAATCCTCATAATGTAAAGATAGATTTAAGCCATTATCTTTATCTCAGAGTTACAAACTCTGCTTTCTTTAACTGTTTAATCTAAAATACCATTTAGTCTTGAAACTAAGCTCTGGGACTTTTCATTTAACTTTATTATCTTTTCTGCTTTAAAAAAAGTTAAAGCAGCTCATTTGGTTATATGGTCTGAAGATATAAAAAATGAATTTTATTGAAACCTACATGCCTTTTAGTGGTTTAATGTTAGTGTGTTTAAATTGATAAAAGCATCAGCGTCAATATGAAAAAGTGAAAAAACCCAAACCAACTCTTCCTAAAAACCCTTTGCAGTAAAGGGATACTATACTAACATTTCCATTTTAAAATTACA